ACCCTCATGTTCATAGGAGTGATTTTTACAATAGCCAAGATATGCAAGCAACCTAAGTGTCCACTGATGGATAAGTGGGAAAAGTTTGTAGCACTGGAATATTATTCAGCCATTAAAAAGAAGAAATCCTACCATTTGCAATTATATAAATGGACTTTGAAGGCATTAAGCTAAGTGAAATAATTGAGAGAGAAAAAAATCCTGTATGATTTCACTTATATGTGGGATCTTTACAAAAAGAAAAGTCCTAGAAACGGAGATCAGACTTGTGGTTGCCAGAGGCAGATGGTGGGGGAAAGGGAAACTGGAGGAAGGTGATCAAAAGGTAGAAACTTGAGTTATAAGATAAAAAAGGGCGTGCCCTAACCGGTTTGGCTCAGTGGATAGAGCGATGGCCTGCGGACTCAAGGGTCCCAGGTTCGATTCTGGTCAAGGGCATGTACCTTGGTTGCGAGCACATCCCCAGTGGGGAGTGTGCAGGAGGCGGCTGCTCGATGTTTCTCTCTCATCGATGTTTCTGACTATCCCTCTCACTACCTCTCTGTAAAAAATCAATAAAATATATTAAAAAAAAAGATAAAAAAGGGCGAGGGATATAATGTAAACAGGAGTACTGTAGCTAACACTGCTGTACAATACATAGCAAAGTTGTTCAGGGAATAAATCCTCAGGATTCTCACCACAGGGAGAAAAGTGTTCTCTTTTCTTCTCTATTTTCTTGTTATGGCAATATTATGTGAGCAGGAGAAGATGGATGTTAGCTAATCCTATTGTGGCAATCATTTCACAATATATGTAAACCAAACCATCATGCTGTACACCGTCAAATTACACAGTGATGTGTGCCAATTCTTTCTCAATAAAACTGAGGGGGAAGCAGTGTGTTCTCAGTACTCATTTTTAAATAAATGAGCACCTATTAATTCCCTTCAGGTTCTTTTCTTTGTAAATACTGAATTGTTCCCTAATGCTGGGATGATATGTATGAAACACCTCCTACATGGCTTCCCTCCCGTTTCCATTGAGGACTCGATTGTGAGCAATAACTAAGTCATACATGCTTTGAAAAGTTTTGCCGGCTCTTTTACCCTCTTCCCCAGTGAGTCTTTTATTAGCCTCTGGTGTTGGGGGCAGGAAGGCATCCTGCAAAGCAGTGTGGGATCTGTAGCGTCTGACTGAACTTTGGGGCCCTCTGTGAGGAGCCCTGAGACCCCTGACTGTGTGCCAGCTTCCACAGGTATCAGATGAGGGCGGGAACAGCCTGTGCTTCACGGGGTGGTGGCCAGCATAAATCCCCCAACAGGGCGGAGCTGGGCAGTTGGAAATGTCGTGGCACCACTGCTGGTGCTATCTGCAATATTCCCTGTAATGTGTGTATCCGGTACAGAGTTTCCAGCCACAAGCCCAAGTGTGATAAAAGGCAGGCACTCTTGCCCTAATCGGTTTGGCTCAGTGGACAGAGCATCGGCCTTCGGACTGAAGGGTCCCGGGTTCGATTCAGGTCAAGGGCATGTACCTTGGTTGCGGGCACATCCCCAGGAGTGGGCGTGCAAGAGGCAGCTGATGGATGTTTCTCTCTCATCGATGTTTCTAACTCTCTATCCCTCTCCCTTCCTCTCTGTAAAAAAATCAATAAAATATGTTAAAAAAAAAGGCAGGCACTCTTGTAATTTACATGCAGCAGGTGACTTCAACTGGCCGCTTCTGCTTTGTGGGAGGAAGACTCAATAGTGACTTGGAGGGAAATTCAATAAGAAGATATATATGAGGAAAGCACACTGATACCTTCCTCAAAGACTACCCCCCAGGAATGTGAAAAGCATGTTGTGGTGCATGCATATTTTAACTGCCTCGGGTTGTTTAGAATAGAGTTTCAGAAGTAGAGTTCTGGATTGAAGGCGTAAACACGCAACAGGCTTGGTGCACACTGCAAGAAACACAGATCCATTTGTCTTGCCACCCACATACTGTGAGAATTCTTGTTCCTTCATACTCACACCAGAACCTGTTTGTGTTTTGAAAATACTCAGCGCATTTCCTTTAACAGTTGTATGTATAGAAAGAGACCGCCATTCTGTCATATATGGTGCAAGTTCTTTTCCTTGTTGTTGTTGTGTGTGTGTTGTTGTTTTCCTTTTAGTTATGTCTGTGGCTTTCAGATGCAGGGATAAATTTACTTTATGTAGCCATATCTACAGGGTCATTTTTTCCCTGTGTGGCTTTACTCTGGTACAAAACTGACAAGGCCCTTCCTAATCTGCCTGTCCTGTTATTTTCATCCCTATTTTTCTAACTCCATTCCCCTGCCTACCTCCAACTAAGGGGAGACCCACAACAAATGATACTTCACAGTAGCCAACACGTTAGAGAGAATTTCTCCTTCCCAGGCCCCTAATGGACCTTTCCTCTGTGCTTATGGACTAGTGGTATTAGCACCCGTAGATGCTCCTCTATAAACTTCTCCCTCTATTGTGGCTTTAGCTTTCTCTTACCTCAAATGTTCTACCGCAGATTCTAACTCAGAAGGTCGCCCAAGCATGAAGATTATTTTAAACTCCACACGTAAAGGCAAAGTATTTTCAAAGAAAAGAACCTGGCAGCGTAGGAACAAAACTCGTCTTCAGAACAGATGGCAGGGGCAAGGGTTGGAGGGGTTGTGGCAGGGCAGGTAAGAGAGGATTTGACTTCAGAGAACAAGACGGTGGTAGTTTCCACTGACCAGACTTGTTCTACCATTTCCACGCTAAAGGTCACTTGAGTTTGGCGGACAAGGCCTGCATGAAACCCACTTGTTGTGTGTGTCTTCTCCCAACCTGGCTTGGCCCCACAGGGATGGCCAACTGCTCCCTTGATCCTGTTGGGAGGGGATGGGAGTTTACAAATCCCACTGAAATGATCCGTCACATATCCACTCCATTAGTTTTCCCTCCGGGTGTAAAGGAAATTCTTCACTTGGGAATGTAACAGTAGGAAGCTGTAACCCACCCACCATTCTTTTCATATTCTTTCTATAAATGCAGCTGGTAGATAAGCAGCATGTTTGTCCAAGAATCCTGGGAACTAACTTGAAAACATACAGAGTGTGTCCTTCAGTCATCCCAGTTCCCAGGGAACTGCTGACCTTCCGCCCCAGAGCCAGCATGATGAGGACCAGCATGACGCACACCAGACCATCACTTGACAGGTTTCAAGATGCTTATCGGCGTGTACCGTGCTGGCCGCCACGTACCACTTTGCAACCCCTGCCCTCGATGTCTTTGTTCTGCTTTCCTCTCTCTGCCTGTAAAATCCCTGCCTGCACTGATGGGGTCATGTGGCGATGGGCTTTGAGACAAGAGTCCCTGTTTTCCCAGGTGTCCCACACTCAATGGACCACTTTGCTTTTCACCAGCATTTGTCTCAGGAGTTTACCTGGCCGAGGTCAGGTAATATGACTTTAAGAATTGGGAATGACATAGAACAATGCTCATGTGCCAAGGGCCAAATATAAAAATAAAACACCATGTAGAAAACTCGCCCTAACTGGTTTGGCTTAGTGGATAGAGCTTTGGCCTGCGGACTGAAGGGTCCCAGGTTTGATTCCGGTCAAGGGCATGTACGTTGGTTGTGGGCACATCCCCAGTAGGGGGCATGCAGGGGCAGCTGATCAATGTTTCTCTCTCATTGATGTTTCTAACCCTATCTATCCCTCTCCCTTCCTCTCTGTAAAAAATCAATAAAAAACATACATAAAAAAGAAAACTCTTTGTATATTATAATCAAGTACTAGGAAAAGATGGGTTATGCATATTTAAAGAAAAAGGACTGGCCCTGACTGGTTTGGCTCAGTGGATAGAGCGTCGGCCTGCAGACCAAAGGGTCCCGGGTTAGATTCCGGTCAAGGGCATGTACCTTGGTTGCGGGCACATCCCCAGTAGGGGGTATGCAGGAGGCAGCTGATCGAAGTTTCTAGCTCATCGATGTTTCTAACTCTCTATCCCTCTCCCTTCCTCTCTGTAAAAAATCAATAAAATATATTTAAAAAAAGAAAGAAAGAAAGAAAGAAAAAGGACCGGAAAGTAAAACTTGAAAACATCTCCCAATGTTTACTGAGCCCGGCTAAGTGCTGGTACTCCTCCTGGTGCTGAGGGAAGAGTGCAGCCCACCCGCACTGCAGCCCCTGCTCTCACACACGGGCTCTGCTGCTTCTGGATCACAGGCCACTGCACCTCCAACTTCACATTTACAGACACTTCCAACAGTTTGCAAGATGTCTCCCTTATTTTTTCAGTAATGTAACTAACAATCTAAAAATGACTTTCCAAAAGGAATAACTGAGTTTAACAAGGGGAGGTTGAAGTCCTGATGCAAAAAAGAACCTTAGTGTATTTTAAATGCACCTTGTGTTTGATGAAAAATCTCTAAGAAATTGACCCCAAAACACTCTTTTATGGTTATTATTGGAGGATAGGAACGTGGATTAAATAACTTTATTATATTTTATCCCTCCCCCATCCAATTTTCTACAGTGAGGTTTGAGTGGCTGCCATCATTGAATTATCTATAGTAATAAAAGCATAATATGCAAATTGATTGAACAAAGGAACAGCAGAACGAATGCTTGGATGACCCTCTGCGGGCAATTGATGGGGGGACTCTGCCATCCATCGCCCCAAAGAGGGAGGCCCAGGCCACCTGGCTGGCAGCCACAAAGGGAGGCCATGGCCACCAGGAGGCGGCTGGAGGCACCGTCCTGGATGGGCGGGGCCTCCCTCTGTGTAGCAATGGATCTGGGGCACCAGATCCGCCCCACAGAGGGAGGCCCAGGCCAGCCAAGCCATCACACCCCACGCCTGTCACCCAGAGGGAGGCTACAGGTGGCGGGGGAGTGGAGGGCAGCACTGCACAGATGACAAGCAGTGGCAGCGGCGGGGGCGGGGCCAGCTGCTGGCAGCCTGGGGAAGGAAAGCCCAGATAGGCCCTGATTGCTGGCCAGGCCTAGGGACCCTACCGGAGGAATCCTGGATTGCAAGAGGGTTTCCCAGGATTGCAAGAGGCAGGACTGAGGGACAACCCCTCCCCCGACCCCCTGCAGGAATTTCGTGCACAGGGCCTCTAGTGTATGCATTAAGGCCCATAAAACCCAAAACGAGTTGGGGAAAGCCGATGACGATCCGCCCCAGAGAAGCAGAAATAAATGTTGCTAAACAACCCAGGCAGCAGTTTAGAAGAACAGGCGATTTGAAAGGCAAAGTGTTCCAGTCTGCAGATTAGAAGTTTCACCTGTGAAGCCCCTGAAGGAGCAATTTAGTGAAGGTGGTTGCTAAGGCAGCGAAGCTGCTGGGACTGAGAAAGTATCTACTAATTCTGGAAAAGACACAAGTATGTTTTTTCAGACACAAAGGGCGGGAGAGAGGAGGCCTGGCGTGGAAAACGATGCACCACTGCCCTCTACTGTCCAGAGAAACTGAAGGCTGCAAACTGCAGGTAACATCAGTCTACTGAGCAGATATGCCCAGCCAGGTCTGATCTCCCCAGGGTGCTTATGTCAAAGGGGAAGGGGAGGGGCTTCAGTACCTGCTCAAAAGGTCCAGCAAGACTACTTACCTAGTAGCTCTGGGATTCACCATAACAGGGGCTTGAAGTCCAGGCAATTCGGAAAGTTGCTAACAGGACAAGGTGCTGCATCCCGATTGGCGGCTTCTGGGCACACGTGCAGGAGTCCAGTGAGGTCGCTGCCAGTCGCAAGCAAGTCAAACTCGTGGCCTTGTGGGTTTCGTCCTAGATCAGGACAAAGAATGGGAGCAGGCGTGAGGACGGGGTCTTTTTGTAGACCCAGTGCTCCCTGAAACCCCTGATCATCCGCCCTCACTTAACGCATCTCCTCTGAGGTTCATGCCAGCTCTGGAACATTGCCTTGTGTCAGTGTCCTCAGGTCCTCAGGGCTGTCTGCTCCCTATGTCTTGGGGTGTTGTCTTGTTTTGGGGGTGGTAAATAACATACCGAAAAGCCAACAGCCCTCTGCTTCTAATTCCCATGTGCTGATTCCTTGGAAGCCACGAATAGGCTCTGTAGATCCCCTTTGGGTTTCCTCTCCCTTCCTGCTCGGAGACAGTTCAGGAGAGGAGTGATGGTAAGTGCAGGAGCAGAGTCCCTGAGCAGGCGGAGGACCTGGGATCCTGAGCACGCGTGAGGGCTGCCTGCAGGCGGGAGCAGGTATGCTCAGGCGCAGCAGAGACTGTCAGGGCAGAGACCCGCTCGGTTGGATCTGGGACCTGCGAGAAGTCCCCCTCATTGCTTCTGTCTTCCCCATTGAAATGGAAGAGGGTGCTGGTGAGTGAGGTAGTGATGGAGGTTGGAGCAGGGTGACAGTGAGAGGCAACTGTCTCCTGGTGATGCACATAAGATGAACAATTCAGTGAGGTTTGTGTTTTTGTCATCAATGCTCAGGTGCTCACATACAGGCAGGGACACAGCAGGAGAGTGTGGAGGGGGGAGAAAGGAGCAAGAGAGCTATATTAGATGGGGAGTTTATAGGCTGGAGTAGGCTGAGTAAGGAGGGGCCTGTGGAAGTGAGGAAGGTTGTGGGTTCCTAGCTGTAGGCCCGCATGACATTGAAGGTTATTTAAGCAGAGAGATTAGAAGGAGGGAGCTGGTTGAGCCTTGCACAGTGGTTGAGCCTTGCACACTGTTGACAGAGGGGAATGCTAGAAGCGGACATCATGGATGGGCAGGTGGTTTCCTTTGGTTCAAGGCATGATCCTGTGTATGGCGATGCTCAGGTGATCACATGGAAAATAACCCTGAGGTGAGAGTCTCCATGGTGGTTGACCTAGTTAGGCTCCTGGGCCCTGATATTATCAGGAGGTTTCTCAAGAATGAGTTCTGAGATCAGGTAGGTGGTAGTTCCAAAGGACCAGCCTGTACAAAGGCTAGGGCAGGCACAGGGTGAGCAGGGAATTGGCACAGACCATTAAGTGAGGTGGCTTGGGCAGTCAAGTCACAGGACCTGGACATCACAGGCCCTGTCCATCAGCTGAAAGTTTGCAACAGGGGAAACACCTAGCTGAGAGAGGCTCAGAGACTTCTACTGCCCTCTCTTTCCCCCCAAAGGCAGGCCTAGAACCTCCAATGGAAATGCAGCCCTGGATCCTCTGGGGTGGGCTCTGGGACCAGCCACTTCATTCTAAATTCCTCAGTTCTGAGGGTGGGACTATGGAAGAGGTGGTGCTGGTGTTGTTTTACAAGCGTCCCTTGGGCTAATCTCTGCTGTTTCTGACCATAACTGTCATCAGGTATGTTTTTTGAGACATCCTCTGTCCTGTTATTTTGGAAATCTAGGGGAAAATGGGAATTTTCTTGCAAGAATCATGTCTCTGAGTTTCTCTGGTCAGCAGGTGGCAGCATGGAGCCACAAAATCCTCTCTCCCCCTCCTTTTGTGTTTGGAAAAAATGTTGGGAGCCATTTCTGGAAGAATTGCTCAATTGTTTCTGCACCGGAGCTGGCTGGTTCCTTCCTGGGGCTGAACTGTTCCATTCTTGGCAGTCCTAGTGAAAATGAGGTGCCTCGGTTCCTCAGCCTCATGTATTTCTGATTCTCTGAATGGTCTTCCCATTGGCTTTGAACCAGTATATATTTTTTCAGTTAGCCCTAAGCACGCAAACCGCAATGTAGAATATTTGGAAGACTGATAACGTATAATAAAGTAATCTAAACCCCAGTTTTATCACCCGCTGATGACCATTAATAATGTGTAATCCATTTCTTTAGAGGTCTTCCCATCCATAAAGGTGCATTGCACACAGAAGGAGATTCTTATTACATTGTGATTACAACATATTGTATTAAACTCAGGTTTTTCGTGTGAGTTAGCTGTTCTAAAAATAATTTGTAAGGACTTGAATAATTTTTATTCCTTTTTCTTCTTAGTAGTCTATATAGTCTTAAAGAGTGAAAATGTGATATTTGATAATGGAGATAAAAAGCAGAAATAAACCGTGACTCCTATCTCAAAGAGAAACACCCTACTGTTACCTTCCTAAGGATGGGAGCTATCTTTTTGGCTTTGTTTTTGCTTAACATTGTATTTTCAACGTAGGAAATCCACTTGTTTTGTCTGTCCTCCAGCATCCTAACTTTATTATCCCCATGGTAAGGGCCAACTGCTCTCTGCTTCTGTCCAGTGGGAATTGGGATTTACAGAACCCACTGAAATTTACCATTTAGTCACTCCATTATTTTCCCCTCAGGCCCTAAGGGAAATTGGTCTGATTTTAGCCATTTAAGAAGACAGAGAAAAGACAAAGGAAGAGTAATCACCAACATCCCAAGCACTTTCAACATGTTTTGCATATCACTTTCATTTTTACAGTAATTGTGAAGTTTTTATGGTTGATAGTATGCCACTCCTGTATTTTCTTGAAATTCAACTTTGCTGATACTGAGCCAAATGTTTTGTCCACTACTCCTACACGGTTTTAGAAATATAAACAATAATGGTATGAAAACTTTTTGAATAAACACACACCCACATTTTAGACAATTTGCCTTGCACAGGATCCTACAAGTTGCTACATATTGCTACATTCCTTTACCCAGGAATGTAAGTCAGAAAATCTGATGTTAAGAAATGCTAATGACTTGAGAAATGCTGATCCACAAAGAGCCAAATTTAAAAAAAAGCAAACATGTAGAAAACGGTTTGTACATTATAATAATTGAGGACTAGCAAAAGATGGGTCTTAGATATATAAAAAGAAAAACGATCACAAAAGTAAAATTTGAAAACATCTCTCAGTATTTCCTGAGCCCTGCTAAGTGCTGGTACTCCTCCTGGTGCTGAGGGAAGAGTGCAGCCCACCGGCACTGCAGCCCCTGCTCTCGCACAGAGACTGTGCTGCTTCTGGATCACAGGCCACTGCACCTTCAACTTGACATTTACAGACACTTCCAACAGTTTGCAAGATGCCTCCCTTATTTTTTCAGTAATATAACTAACAATCTAAAAATGACTTTCCAAAAGGAATAACTGAGTTTAAAAAGAGAAGTCCTGATGCAAAAATGACCCTTAGTATATTTAAAATGAACCTGGTGTTTGGTGCAAAATCTCTAAGAAATTGATCACAAAATATTCCTAATGGTCAATATTGGGTGATGGGGCTGTCTTTTGAATGACTTTGTTTCCTAGTGAGGTTTGAGTGACTGTCATTATTGAGCACTGTATTGAAAAGGCCCAGAAAACCCCAAACAGTTGGGGAAAGCCGGTGACTCTGGCCTTCAGAGTAGGTGACTGCAAGTTGCTAAGTAACCGAGGTGGACTTTGGAAGAATCGTCCATTTGGAAAGCAAGTGGTTTTGATCACAGAGGAAACCGCTCACTGGCCACTGCAGGAACCACTGTGCCCAGGAGCTGCAGGAAGAGTGTGCTGGCCGCCCTGCAAAGGGCGGTTAAGACTTTTCCCTGCTCTCTGCTGCCGTGTTTTTTTCAAGCCCGAAAGGCGGGGCGGAGGGAGGCTGGCCCGCGCACGGCCCTCCACTGCCCTCTGCTGGTCGGAGTCACCGGGGCCCAGATCTCGGAGGGAAACCCGTGTTTCCCGCGGAGCTGCTGGTGGAGCCAGAGGGACCGGGGCCGAGGAAGGCTGACTGGGTGGAGAGGAGGGTCCCGTAACGGAGGGAACGGGGACAAACTCAGGGAAGTGGCCCTCGGAACCCCCAACAGGGTCACAGGCGGGACAGGCGCACAGGAATGACGTATGACGTACAGAAGGGCGGTTCTGCGCCCTCATTGGCGGGTTCTGGGCATGCGCCTTGGTGCGCAGTGAGGTTTCCGCCGGCTTCTCTGCCAGCATCTGCTGGAGGTTTAGTCTGGATCCTGCTGCAAAGATCAGCTGCGGGTTTGGACAGGAGTTTTTCAGATTCCTGTGGCCCGGCGGCCCTAGTCGCTGCTCTGCCCCACCAGCAGGACGGGTACCGCCCCTGGTCGTCACCCTACGGCCTCTCCCCAGCTTGTGGACACACTGGTCTCCTGTCACTCTCTCGGTCCTCTCAGACCTCACTCCGCAGAACCCTCCTGGGACTCAGGGTACGGGTGCCCAGCACAGACAACTCGGAGCCCCTCTGCAGTCCAGAAGGTTCTCCCGCTACCCAGCCGAGCACCCCCTGCCAAGGTCATGCCCTGGGTATCGGGAGCTCGGGGCCCTCCATGACGTCCTTCTCTAGCCTTCCCCTCTCTTGTCGCTTCAACACCTTCCCTGGATGTCTAGCTTCCTCCCTTCTAATGCACCTGCTTAGACAGCCTTGAACCCCTCTGGTGCCTCCAGTGTAGAGCCCACAGCCTCCCCCGCCTTCCACCAGGCCTCTTCTCTACAGCCTACCCCGGGGTATATAATCTGCTCCAAAACAACTCTCTTGCTCCTTTCACCACCTTCCTACTCTCCTGTTGTGCCCCCATAGGGACACAGCCTGCTTGTGCCTGAGCACCTGCGCTTTGATGAGACTACCTCACTCACTAGCAATCCTACTTCATCCCACTGACCTCCCCTACTATTGCCTGCAGCACACAGAAGCAATGAGGTCGAGCTCCTCAATGCTTCCCAAACTCAATGGACCTGTTTTTTCTGTGACTCTGCTTCCCCTGAGCATACCTGCTCCTGAGTGCAGCCAGCCCTCACCTGTGCTCGGGATCCCATGCCTCCCACCTGCTCTTATGAGCCGTCTCCTAAAGTATCACCTGCTCTTTGTACATTGGACCATCCCACAACAAATGGGGGAAAGCCAACCTCCATCCCACATGTCATTTTGCAGCTACTGGCACGTTGATGTATTAATTCCAAAGCCAAACCTCTTCAACTCCTCCTGAGACCATTTGCCCCTCCATCCCCTTCAATATGACTTACTTTGCCTATCACTCCACTGCAACTGGTCTACTCAAAGCCAACACTAATGTTCACGTTTTCTGAGCCACAATCACTTTTCTATGCTCATCTTAGGAAACAATCGGTCAGTCATATTGGTCACATGTGACCATTGCATTCTTTATCACTCTGCTGCATTTAATATTTTTGAGGGGAGGGGTGATGTGCCCACGGTGCTCATATTGTTTGTGACAAGGTACACATTGCACAGTTGCCCCACTGACCTGGATAGAGCCTGTGAAATCTTCATCAACATGAAAGACAAGCCCCAGAAGAGAGTGTCCGTTGCAGTCACAGGAGTACGGCCCACAGAAGCAGAGATGGGGAAGTAACACAGCTCAGACAAGGGAGGTGAGTCAAGACGTGCAGAGAGGCTCCAAGTAAATGGGCCTTGAAGGTGTTATGCTCAGAGAAATAAGTCAGAGAAAGACAACTACCATAGGAGTGCACTCACATATGGATTCAAAAGCACAACATAAATGAAAAAGCAAAACAGAAACAGACTCATAGACACAGAGAACAAGATGGATGGTTGCCAAGGAGAGGGGGTGGGGACTGGGTGAATAGAGGGAAGGGACCGAGAATTACAAAGTGGTCGTTACAACAGTCGTGGGGCTATAATGTACAGCATAGGGATTATAGTTAATAATCCTATATAATAAAGAGCTAATATGCTAATTAGACTGAACAGCAGAACAACTGGGAATGACTGGTCACTATGACACACACTGACCACCAGGGGGCAGACGCTCAATGCAGGAGCTGCCCTCTGGTGGTCAGGGGCGCTCTCACATGGGAGGAGCTCTGCTCAGCCACAAGCCAGGCTGATGGCTGCCAGTACAGAGGTGGTGGTGGGAGCCTCTCCTGCCTCCTCAGCAGCGCTAAGGATGTCCGACTGCAGCTTAGGCCTGCTCCCTGCTAGCAAGTGGACATCCCCTGAGGGCTCCCGGGCTGCCAGAGGGATGTCTGACTACCAGTTTAGGCCCAATCCCCCGGGGAGCAGGCCTAAGCCAGAAGGTGGTCATCCCCCGAGGGGTCCCAGAATGTGAGAGGGCACAGGCCAAGCTGAGGGACCCACCCGGGTGCACAAATTTTTGTGCATCAGGCCTACAGTGTTGTAATAAGTGTGTATGGTGCCAGGAAGGTACTGGGACTATCGGGAGAACACTTTGTAAAGTATATGACTGTCTTACCGCTATGCGGTACACCTGCAACTAATACAAAGTCATAGGGAATGTAAACTGTCATTAAAAATAAACTTTAAAGAGGTGTCCTTTCCACAGAGACCACCTGGGGCACTGTGAGCCATAGAGGTGTCATAGGTCCCGTTCCCGCATCATCACACAGACTCACAAGCCACACGTGCTCCTCCCCAATGGGAAAGACCTGGAGATGTGGGGTAGAGATCTGAGAGTGAGCCTTCTCACTGAGGTCACTGAGCATTTGTACACATGGACCACGCCCATGTTGCATCTTAGCTCGGTTAGCAGATTAGCAGCAAAAGCAGGGGCCTCGTCTCCCCTCACGAATATTCCCATTCAGAGGCGGGCACTGCTGCTGAAGATCAGCACAGTCGGGCAGAAGGCATCAGCCCAAGTGCCGGTGCAGTCAGAGGAGCCCCTGTGAATCTGGGATGTCGGCACACCTTCCCCACAGGCGCTCCTGTGCCCGCCTTCCAGTCTGTCCCTGTGAGAGGCGACCTGGGGGTCCTTGCCTCCCCTGCCTTTAACCAGGACAGCGTGTAGCCTGCCATGAACGGACCCTAAAACAGATCACAGCGAGCGGAGAGGCCCAGACAGACTCACCGAGAGGAGGAGCTGACGAGGGTGTCACTGAGGGCAGCAGGGCCTCCTCCAGGCCGTCCTCGCCTCCACAGGCCATGCTGGGCTCCTTCTCTTGTAACAGCACGGGCCATCACTGCAAGGCCAGCGTCCTGGAGCTGGGCTGCAGAAAAAGGTTTCCAGAGCCAGGAAAGGAAGCCTGGGGAAGGTGCAGAAAGTCAGTATTCTTACTAGGAGAATGTGGGGAGCCAATATAGGGTTAAGCCTCGGACTGACCTGTCGGCAAAGGCACAAACAAGTCCCAGCTTAGAGGGCACAGTCCTCTTAGCATATTTAGGCTTGACCTTATAATGCTCCCTAGATCTTACCTGGGACGCTAATGGGCTGAGGGAAGTGCAGCAAGAAGAGGAACAAAAACAAGTGAAACTCACAAGAACAGTGTAAACAAGTGAAACTCACAAGAACTGTGTAACTATGGAAACCACTACCTTGTTTACCACTGACTATAAAATAAAGGCTCAGTTTGCCTCCGGATCTTTCTCTGTGGCCTCAGCCAGGCACAGGAAGATAGAGAGTTCTGACCGCTGTCTCCGTGTAAAACATTCTTCGCCTACTCCGTCCACACCTTTGGGAACCCCTGGACCTCCGGGGCTGGACCCCGGCAGGAGAAGGCGCTGCTTTCCTCCTTATTTCTTTGGAAGGTGAATCATGCCAGTGTCCTCTCTGAGCTGAGATGCCTGAGTAAATATCACAAGAGCTGCTGACACACCCAGAGCATCTCCCAGGATGTCTTGCCCAGCCCGCTGTCCTTGGACAATCTCTTCTTCAAGGGGGACCCGGCCCTTGTGTCCTACACATCCCGGCCCTGAGCACAGCACAGCCTTTTGTCCGGGGGGAGCAGCCATCAAACCCTCCTAGTGATGGGCAGGTCTCAGGTCTCCACTTCTGGGCAATTCAGGTACCCTGGCCACTGGAGTGTGTTTTCCACGCAGGAGAGCCCATCGAATAATGCAAAACTATCAACTCAATGTCAGAAATAGTGTCCACTGTACAGGACACCTGGGGGTCCCTGTACATGGGATCATGTGACTTAGGAAGCATTTACATCCCCTTTCCCTCATTGGGTTCTTGCAGCTCTGAAAACAGTACCCTTTAACCCCTTCTTCTTAAGGGGACAGGAAGGGTTGGAGGCCCTGGAGTCTCTCAAGGGGAAACCAGGGACTTGTCCCCCAGAAGCCACTGGGATCCTGTTGTCTCAACCTGGTGACTGAAAGGGTCAATCTGTAGGAAGGGCTTGGTTCTTCCATTTTCCATCATGGTCCGCCTCAGCCCCGTTCCTCATCGTTTGCTGTCTCAGCTCTGGTCCTACCCTCCCCCACCCCCACACAGGGGTGAAGACTTTGGGAAAACACGGACTCCTGCACAAAGACCTTGAGTGGTTAGAGTGCCCGGCTGTGCCCAGGTAGCAGCGGCAGAAATCTCAGGGACTGGACCCTGCTCCTTCACCCCAGACACAGGCTCACAGTTGTCTCATGGCGGCCTGAGACCTGTGGCCCTCAGTAAGATGCTGAAGTTGAGTCCTGTTTCTCCCTGCCCTTCTAACAACCCACCGTGCCCTTTGTGGGGATCTGTGGGGAGTGGATGCCCACCTCCACAGGGACCAGAACCAGAAGCTAGCTCCGCTCTACTGCCCCATGGCCCGGCCCCGCTGTTCCTCATCTCAGGGACCCCAGAGCACGGCCTCATCACCAGCAGGTGTGAGTGACCGAGGCCAGTCTCATCCACAGGCTTAGCCTTACAGGTGCTTTAAATCCATCCGCGTCCAGGGCCCAGACAAGGCAAACCTCTCCTAGCTCTCCTGGCTTCCTGGGCTTCTACGGTCCTGCAAGGAGAAGTGTCTGCAGAGACATTTTGTCTGAACTTGGTGGCCATTCAAGTGCCCGTGACTCCAGCTCCTGCTGTCACCCCAACTCCAAGCCCTTGCACCCACTGCCCTCATACAGGACTGCTGTCTGGTCCTCCAGTACAACCTACCTTCCCTCTTATGCCACCTTTGCCCAAATGTCCAATTCTTTCCCCCTTTCTGAGTTAACTCAATCTTTTTCTCCCTGATACCACCGATTGCGGCCTTTGACTTGGAAGCTGCTGTAACTCCCCACACGTAGCTGCAATGGGTCGCAGACGTAAGAACGGGAGCGGGAGTGAGGATGGTGTCTTTCTGCAGACCCAGGGCTGCATGAAAGCCCTGCTGTGCACTCCTCCCCTTCAAGCATCCCCCCTGAGCTCATCCAATGTCTCCTTGACTCTGGCATCCACGCCACGGCCTCAGGACGCTCAGGGTTCCTGGTCCCTGCGTCCTGTGATTTTGCCCCTTGTTATGGGGACACACCCTCAAAGGGCACACCCTGCGTGCACCCACCTCTGCTTCCAATGCCCATGTCTGGGTTCCTTGGATGCCAAGCTTCTTGGGAGTGTAGACTCCAGTAGCCTGTTTGTTTGGTCACCTCTCCATCCTCCTCCGTGTCCCCCATCCAGGGAATGTTCCCTTGCGAACTTCTCCAAAGAGCTCCATGTTGGCAAACAAAGTACCCAATGCTGCCTTGCACACAGTCAACACTTTCCATTCCCACAACACCCTCCTTTCTCTTCATCTCTCCCACCTGATTTGTTCTCATCTGTATCCCCTTGTGTGCTGACGGCTTGCTGCATCACCAGGTCTACCTAAGCCAGTGGTCGGCAAACTGCGGCTCGCGAGCCACATGCGGCTCTTTGGCCCCTTGATTGTGGCTCTTCCACAAAATACCGACTTCTGTGCATGGGCCACGAAGTTTCAATCGCACTGTACGTGTGCGCCCGCACGTGGTATTTTGTGGAAGAGCCACACTCAAGGGGCCAAAGAGCTGCATGTGGATCGCGAGCTGCGGTTTCCTGACTACTGACCTAAGCAATCTCAGCTGGACCACAGAGACCCCTCAGGTTGAGACCTGTGGGCACCTCCCCTCAGATGTCACACAAGCCCTGCAATTCTACAGGGGACCTGAAACCTATGTGCCCTGTGTCATGGGCGGGCTCTGCCATCTCCCCATGTCCTTAAACCAAAATCCTAGGAATGCCACTAGGTGTGACCTCCACTACCCCATGCCTCCCCTGGCCCTGCTCTGGAAAAGGCTAAACCATGATCTTCATGTTCCCACGGATGTTGGTAAATACCCCTGTGAGGGCTTCCTCTTCCCAGTCACTGATGGCACCTATGTCCTGGTTTGGCTGGGCCCCTACAGGAAGTCCAGGGAGAACCTGCACCCTGTAATAGTCCCGACCCACTGAGATGCTCACCTTCTTCAGGAACTCCACAGATGCTGTTTGAACTGCAGGGATCAGGCCATAGCAGCAGTGCCCATCGTGGCTGGAGGAGAATGTTTGCTGTGTCCATGGCTGTGCACGAAACAAGGGTTGGCTCACTTTTCGTTTTCATCATAAACATCCTGGCCTATGCGGTCTGTCCCGGAGAGCGTGCATGAACGTGAAAACATATGATCATAAAAAGTGAAAATGGCCCTGATCCGTTTGGCTCAGTGGATAGAGCGTCAGCCTGCAGACTGAAGGGTCCCGGGTTCGATTCCGGTCAAGGGCATGTACCTTGGTTGCGGGCACATCCCCAATAGGAGGTGTGCAAGAGGCAGCTGATCGATGTTTCTAACTCTCTATCCCTCTCCCTTCCTCTCTGTAAAAAATCAATAATATATATATATATATGTATATTTTTTTTTTTTTAAAGTGAAAATGCCCCTGAGCGAATGTCCCGGAGAAGCCTGACAGCTGGTCCTTCGCATGGACGGGTAAAATCTCAGCTCGCTGTACTTCCCACAGAACTCCTGTGTTCTGCCCATGATGGCCTCTGTACACGGTCTCACAAACTTTTAAAGTAGCTAAGCACAGGGATGGCTGTTTCCACGGCAGCAATCCAGGCTCTCACGGGAGAAGGACTCAATGAGGCTCCTGCAGGGGCCACATCCAGACCTACTGACTCACCTCTGGGCGGGGGCAGGGGGTGCCCAGGACCTGCTCTTTTAAAGAGGCTCCGGGGCAGTGCAGGCACCCTGTGGTGGGGAATCCTAAGCACTCCAGTGCCTCACCTGTGCTGCTTTCAAATACAATCCTGGACTTAGAGCCAGGTTTGCTGATCCGCTGTGATGTGTCTTGCCTTTTGAGAGCTGTCTATGGCATCCTTCCTTTTCCCTATACTCACACTCAGAACAATTGCTGGGACTGAGGAGTGTGTTTATGCCACACCTGCCCTTGGCTGCCTGACACCAGGCAGGCGGAGAGGAGGGAGAAGGCCTGGCTGCTGGGAAGGCAGCTGCATTCTGTCGTCTTGGTTACGGCTCTGCTGCGCATCCCCACTGGGTCCCGAGCTGGGGAGGGCTCTCTGTGACGGGGACAACACCCCTCCCCACTCTGTGTGCCTTCCTGTGATTAGAGGCTGAGGCTGAGGGCCCAGCTTGGTTGCCAGGGAAACTGCAGCTGGGTCTGTGGGAGGCGTGAAGAACAGGCAACCCCGAAGTGGAATTGCAGACGCGGGGTGGATTATGGGAGCCGGCCCTGGGCGGTGGAATTGTGAGTCGACCATTATGTCCACCTGAAGGGCGCCTGCGCAGGAACACTCAGGGACACACAGGCAGACAGGCGCCTGCACACTCACCAGCTCTCCTCCTGGCCCCGGCACAGTGCCTCCCTCTGGTGGAGCATCGAGGACACAGAACACAGAAGAGGCAGGGGAGTCCTTGGTGTCATGAAAGCCTCCACGGCTGGGGCATTCGCAGTGCATTTCGCAATTACCTGTACCGAGGTGTAACGTGCAGTTAGTGTGCACAGCAGGGACTTGTAGGAAATTTAAAGGGTTCTGCGACCGTCACCACACCCCAGTTTCAGAACCTTTCTATCGCCCCAAAGAGACCCTGTGTTGCTGTTCGCAGTCCATCTCCACGACTACCTCCGGGCCCAGGCCAGCTGCCAGCTAATCTCTGTCTCTAGATGGACCATTTCTGGCATTTGGAAAACACTGCGTCACGTGTTACACTACCCCCACTCTCTCCCAATACAGTGGGGCCTTGACTTACGAGTTTAATTCGTTCCGTGACAGAGCTCCTAAATCAAATTACTCATATGTCAAATCTTAAAGTGAACGAGTGAGACACGTGATGCTGGGCTGATGTTGTGGCGTTCACTGTGACGTTCGCTGCGTCAACTAGCGGTGGGGTATCTGAAGCTGGCTCGTAACCCGAATTTTAGCTCGCAACTCAAAGCAAAAAATCGGCCGAGAGACGGCTCATATCTTGAAAATCTCGTTAGTCGGGACACTTGTAAGTCAAGGCCCCACTGTATTTCCCTGCCTCCTGGCGCCTCTGATGTCTGGCCTGGAACTTGACACGCTGGATGTGTGTGCACATCATTGGATTCTGGCCCCTAGTCTGTAACTGGTGACCGTATGCCGTCTCACAGGTGGCCCCATGTCTCCTGCTGTACCCCACACGTGGGCGTGAGGACAAGGCCTTTAGGTGGGTTGATAGGGGGTGTCCGCTGACTTCCCCTGGCCCCTTCTCTGTGCGCCCTCATGTAGAGAGGTGGGCCGGTAGCACCACCCTCAGCAAGCCGCATGCCACCTCACCCAACCCTGGTCCTTCTCACCCAGCTCTTCTTCTGCCCCCCAAGCCTCACAGGGGCCCACGAGGCGCTCCCCACCGCATGTATGGGTGTCAGATCCCTCTCCCTGAGAAAAGGCTCGTTGCCCAGGGCAGCAACTGGCTCTGCCATTCCTCCCCCTCCCCCTGCCAACAGCCTGCTAGCATGCAGGGGCAAGGGAAGGGGAGACGATGGAAGCCGTCACCAGGGCACACGGTGGATTGTGGTTGGCAGGACTGACCTGATGTGGCTGCCGGAGTGAGGCCATCCCCGTCTGACCTCTGCCAGTGGGCACGGTCCCCGCCTTCTCTGTAGTCTGCGCGCCCACCTCACATCTGGGACAGGAATCTTGCTCCAGGATGGACTGTGGGAAAGAGGAAGTCAGCTGACATGTGGAAGCATGGAGCATACGGTGCGACACCTAGTAAGGAACCCATGACAGCGAAATGCCACCTTCCCCTGCTCACCCCCGCCCCCCATGACCAGGCTGAAGTCAGGCCCTTGTGCTTCAAGAGGGACACGCCCTGCCTCACTGACCTCCTCCCCGGGGCTGTGAGACCAGCTTGTTGGGCTCCAGGGAGCTCCCACGGTCTCTGCTGAGGTCACAGCTTCAGAATCTAATAAACGCACCTGTTCTCAAGCCACTTCTGTCTGCAGACTCGGACGTATTTGCGGCAACACAGCTCTGGGCCCACCTGAAAGCACAGGGAGAGAATGCAGAATTCATTTTCTCTCCAGTCAAACACGGTCACTTCCTCGTTAGACAGGATCAGGTTCGGGGTGGGGGAGATGTTTAATCACTGGTGCCTCCTGAAATGAAATGCATTCTGCCCCAATCCCGACCTTTAGTAACTCAATGATGTGCTGCCTCTGCTGCAGCAGGCAGGAAACTGCTGTTCCCGCTCACCTCCCGGGACACCAGGCAACAAGGCCTGGCCCTGCAGCCTGAGGCCAGGGGCACCAGCACCACCCGCAGGGCCCTCCTGTGGGCACGCCCTCTGCTCCAGCTCTCCCTGCCCTGCAGGACGCTGTTCCTTTGCCTCTGCCCAGAGGATCGCAGGCTGGTCCTGCTGCAGGGCCGCCAACAGTGCCGTGCGTGTTCTCTGGGCCCCCCCCGCCTCTCCATCCCAATTTGCTCCTCTTGATAAACTGGGATCGGCTGCTCGGGGACTGGAATGTGGTGGTCGCAGATCTGACAGAGAACAGGCCACAATGGGTGAGGAAATCTCAATTCTAAACTTAGTTTCCTTTAATTCGTATCTTTATTGGGTGCCAGGAGGAAGTTAGCCATCAGAAACTCCTCCTAGGGCAGCGGTTCTCAACCTGAGGGTCGCGACACCTTTTTGGGTCGAACAACCCTTTCACAGGGGTCGCCTAAGACCATCGGAAAACACATAAATAATTACATATTGTTTTTGTGATTAATCACTATGTTTTAATTCTGTTCAATTTGTAACAATGAAATTGGGGGTCACCACTACATGAGGAACTGTATTACAGGGTCGCGGCATTAGAAGGTTGAGAACCACTGTCCTAGGGGAGTGCGACTCAGTGGTAGGGAGCAGTGAACATCTGCCTGCATTGGGGTCCTATTCATAATGGCTTACGCAAAGACCACAATGGTGCACCCCCACGTTCCCATTCCACATCCCCTTTCCACATGTTCTTGTTTTTAAAATGTGTCTTTATCGTTGAAAGTATTACAGAAGGCCCCCTTTTTTCCCCATGGACGCCCCTCCTCACTCCTGCCCCTCCCCAGGCCTTCACCCCACTATTGTCTGTGTCCATGGTTTATGCATATTTTCATATTAGTTCTTTGATTGATCTCTTCCCCCCCCTTCCCTCTGAGGATCCTCAGTCTGTTCCGTGCTTCCATGTCTCTGGATCTATTTTGTTTGTCACTTTATCCTGTTCATTAGATGCCACATATGAGTGAGATCCTGTGATATCCGTCTTTCTCTGACTGACTTATTTCACTCACATAATGCTCTCCAGGTCCCTCCATGCTGTCTCAAAGGGTAAGAGACCCTTCTTTTATACTACTGCGTAGTATTCCACGGTGTAAATGTACCACAGCTTTTTTATCCATTTATCTGCTGGTGGGCTCTTGGGCTGTTTCCAGATCTTAGCTATGGTAAATTGTGCTGCTGTGAACACAGGGGTACATATATTCTTTCTGATTGGTGTTTCAGGCTTCTTAGCATATATTTGTAGAAGAGGACCACTGGGTCCAATGGCAGTTCCATTTTCAATTTTTTGAGGAAACTCCACACTCTTTTCTGCAGAGCTTGTACCAGGGTTCCTGTTTCTCCACATCCTCACCAGCACTTGTCGTTTGTTGATTTACTGCTGGTAGCCAATTTGGCAGGTGTGAGGTGGTATCTCATTGTCGTTTTAATTGGCATCTCTCTGCTGATTAGTGACGCTGAGCATTTTTTCATATGTCTCTCGGCCATTTCTATGTTCTTTTTGGAGAAGTGTCTATTTAGGTGCTCTTCCCATTTTGTGGTTGGATTGTTTTGTCTTCCTTTTGTGGAATCGTATGAGAACTTGATATATTTTGGAAATTAGCCCTTTATCAGATGTATCATTGGCAAGTATGTTCTCCCATACATGTGTTCCCATTTGATTTGGATCCTGGTTTCTTTTGCTGTGCAGAAGCTTTTTATTTAGACGCAGTCCCACTTGTTTATTTTTTCCCATGTTTCCCTTGCCCTAGGGGTTGTATCAGTGAAAATATTGCTAAGTGAAGTGTCTGATAGGATTGCTGCCATTGCTTTCTTCTAGGATTTTTATGGTTTCACGACTACACGGAAGTCATTTATCCATTTTGAGTTTATTCTTGTGTCAGTGTAAGTTGGTGGTCTAGTTGTTTTTTTGCATGTGCCTGTCCATTTTCCCATCCCCATTTACTGAAGAGAGATGCGTGAAACCAACCTCATGTTAGCACACGTGCAGGGGAGCACTCACTGGGCTGCTGACCAGAGGCAGTCAATGCAGTGGCACAGAAGCACATGGGCATCGCAGGGCATTCGCACTGCAGAGGCTTTCTGTCCAAGGAGAGCAGCGCAGGGAGGAGACAGAGACCGGGTGTGAAAGTGACTGCATGCATCACGGAGCCATGACACAGGAGCTGAGGACCACTGCTGCGCAGCCTCCCGGCCTCAGAGCGCCGCAGGGCGGTCCCATTCCCCGCAGAAAAGGCCAGGCCCTTCCTGGGCTCCGGGCACGCTCATGCCGGAAGCGTTTTCAGTCAAACTGGTTGACTTAATCCTCCGACTATTGCTTACTGTTTGGCCCCAAAAGGAACCCCCGCCCAGCATCCGTCAGGTGAGGTGTGATGGTCAGTTGTCCTTCAACCACCTTTGAGGAGCCTCTGGAACATGCTTTTGCTGTCCTGCCGCCCCTCCAGTTCGAGCTTGTCCTGTCCGTGCTGCTGTCGGAGCGGCCCTTCTGAGGGAAGGCCGGGTCGACTGGGACCCAGGCTGCGCCTCAAGCCCACAAGGCCCTGTAGGAGGCTTTCCCAGGAGGGAGGAAGTGGGACCCCCTTCCTCTCCGCAGGCATCCCACCCACATGCGGCCCGTGGCTGTGGCAGTACCGACATTCACACCTAAATCGGTTCTGATCTCTCCCACCTGAGGAGGAGACTCCGGCTTCCCTCTGACCGGATAAGGGGCCGCGGGATCAACGTGTCTCCGTCTCAGGTGTCCCAGAAATGCTTTTTCCTCTGAGGGGTCGCTGACCTTCCCAGGGCCTCTCTTGCAGGGTTTCCTCACCTCTGTGCCGCTGCTGGAGCAGCCCCCGGTAGAGGGGCAGGGCAGGTGGTGCCAGGACTGGGGTTCCCTTCACCGAGGCCCCATGGGCAGTTCTGGGAGGGAAGGAGGAGAGGCTGCCTTGATTTCCCGGGAAGACTCTTCTGAGGCCATCGGGGAAGATGCAGAAATCAACGCTGAGCTGCGTCCTGGGGTGGATCCATGAAGGCCTAGTCCCTGCTCAAAGCTCCTGGCGGCCATTGGGTCTGGACAGGAAGGTGAAGAAGGTTCTCAAAGAGCCTGATGAACCCAGACTGCAACACGGTGGTGAAAGAAGAAGGAAAGTCCAGCACCATTCATCCTCACTTTCCTGTCCCTGTTTCCAAGCTGCACAACGGGGAGTGTAAGGAGCCCTACCTCCTGGATCCTTCTGCGTGTTAAACGGGGTAATACACCTTGAGACCTCAAACACTGATGGCTTACATGCAGGTTTTGGAAAAGCGGTGCATTAATGCACCCAGAGATGACATGGGATGCAAAATGACCGGCCATGGTAACACCCTGCTGACTTTTTGCAAACTGTTCCCACCACAATTTTAACAGCAATCAACGTGTGACTAACAGGTGTTCTCCTAAGCACTCCTAGACTTCCAAAATGTAGACCAGTGATTCCCAAAGTGGGCGCTACTGCCCCCCGGTGGGCGCTGCAGCGATCCAGGGGGGTGGTGATGGTCACAGGTGCATTTGGGGGCGATGAGTAACTGCTATTAAAATTGAAAAAAAAATTAATTTCCAGGGGCTGAGTAATATTTTTTCTGGAAAGGGGGCGGTAGGCCAAATAAGTTTGGGAACCACTGATGTAGACCTTTACTCAGTTCTAAGCATTTGCACCATGCTGACACACACTGGTATTTTTAAAAATATGCTTTTATTGGTTTCAGAGGAAGGGAGTGGGGGAGAGAGAGAAACACCAATGAGAGAAAATCATGGATCAGCTGCCTCCTGCATGCCCCCCACCCCACTGGGGATCGAGCCCACAAGGCAGGCATGTGCCCTGACAGGGTCGTGACCTCCTGGTTCATAGTTCGATGCTCAACTCTTGAGGTATGCCGGCCAGGTCTGACACACCCTTTTAATGTTAACCTTCATCCTAATTGGTTGTTCCTATAGTCAGTAGGTTGCTCAAGACTATGGAAATAAAAATTTACGTTGGTATAAATTTATTGTAGTAAAAATGAGAACAGAAATTAATGAAATTTCTAAAAAAAATAGAGAAACCCAATTCCATCAGAACTGGTTCTTTGCAGATGAGAGAGAAACGAGTTACCAGTAGGAGGAGTGAAAGGGGTGGTTTTCCTACAAACCCAGGAAATAGGAAAGGGCAATATGGTATCTCTACATCCAACTCTACATATACAAATGCAGCAACTTACAACAAGAGGCTCAATTACGCAAAAACCATCAACTACGAAAACTCTCCCGGTGAAAGAGTGCACAGTCCAACATCTTTTATAGAAATCTAAGCAGAGTTAAAGTCCTTTGGAAAAGAATCCAGAGAGTAAATACCAGACACAAACAACGCCTACTCTTCAAATTGCACATCATTCTGAATAGTGTGAAGCAATCTCTCGCCATCCAACTCCACAGCCCACCCCAAGGAGAAGCATCCTTTGTCCAGTGTATCCATGCTGTATGCACTGCCACCGCCCACAGGTCACTTAGGAACCCTCTCAGTTATCAGCTGGACTGTTGAGGGAGCCCATGGCTTGTGTTGAAGTCACTGTTATGTCACTGCTAACGAGCGTCTCCATCGCACTAACGGAAAAGCAGGCACAGACACGTTAACAGACTTGCTCAGCGTCACCCAGCCGTACGTGTGGAGTCACGGGCCTGGAGGCCTTGCGGGAAACTCACTGTGTTGTGGGTTTGTTGCATCAAGGCTAAGATCCAATGGCCACTGCAAAGGATTTCAATGTACAGCTCACATGGAACACGGACTGATTTTGGAGCATGGGACTGCACAGTGAATAGGCAGCTGGCTGCAACGGAAATCCTTTAGGTGGGAGCTTGACAGGAGTGGGACCAGGACACTTTGTGGAAATGACGCTCTGAGAGCCGCCTCAGTCCAGCCGACAGCACGGCAGCCTGTGGCCGGGATGTGCTGCCTTGGGTCTGTGCATCGGAGAAGGCCAGACGGTGGTCACTTCTACTTCCTCACATGGACAGGGCAGCCTGGCAGCAGGAAACAAGACCGCTGCCCTGTCCCACTAGTTCCCAGACCAGTTGTCCACGTGGGTGGGAACCCAGGAACTGAAAAATGCGCCCCCTGTGAACCACGCTGTGGGAATCCCACTTGGTGTGGCCACCACAGTGCCCTAGGAACGGTGACTTTAATCTCTGCCAGGAAACTCTCGGGAACATTATTAAATCCTTTGGTAGCCAGCCGGTCTCTAATGTACTGACTCTTTCCGGTGAGACACACGGCTGAGGAGACCAACCGGAAACCTCAGAGGCAGAGAACATAATGAACACGAGAGCCAAGGGCAGGGCAGGGGACCCTTGAGACGACCTCACAACCCCACTGGCCTTCCTCCCTGAAGGGTGCACTTTATCTCCAATCCATTCTCTTCACGGCCGGTGGGTGGAGGTAGGCACAGGAGATGACATTTTAGACGCCATAATGGCACAGGCTTTTCTCCAGGACCATGCGAGACCCATGAAGTGAGATTATGGGACCCATTATCCCCACTCTCTCAGCCTCTGGTCCTTTCCTGGACCCAACTCCATTCCCGCAAGTCTAGAGCAACTGGCACGTGGGCAAATGTCTTCCCTTCAACTATGAGACACGGACCCTGACCTGAGGAGATCTCTCTCCCTCTCCTGCTTTCAGCTGTCCTTTCCCTGATCTCAGCTGCGGTCCCAAACCAGACAGCTTTCTCCAGCAGCTCAGGGACCCAGCCTGGTCCCTTCCCATGGTGGCCTAGCCCGGAGAGGGCTTGTTCTCACAGAGAAGGCCCCGTTCCAGGAGCCCAGAGCCACGACTCGTACAGAGCCACCCTGGGCATCCATGGACGTGGTACACACACACACACACACACACACACACACACACACACACGGCCTTATCCGACCATAAAATAGAGGAAAATCCTGCTTTTTGCAACTACAGGTGGACTTGACGGGATTATGCTGAGTGAAATAACTTAGAGAAAGACAAATACTGGATGTTCTTGCATATGTGGACACTCAAAAACCAAACTCATAGAAATATAGATTAGAATGGTGGTTGTCAGGGCATGGGGGAAATGTTGAGCAAATTTCCAAATTCCAGCTATGAGATAAGTCATGGGGATCTGATGTACCCCGCGATGACTCTAAGGAGCAACGCTGTGTTCTTTACTGAAAGTAGCTGAGAGAGTGGATCTTAAATGTTATCGTCACACACACAAAATGGTAATTATGTGAGGGGATGGAGATGCTAACACACCTTACTGTGGCCATCACCTCATGATGTAAATGTGTATCAGACCATCCCGCTGTACACTCTAAACGTACATGTTACACGTTGATATGTCAAAGCTGAAAAACATTGTCCCCCTCCCCCCGTCAAGTGGGCATCCCTTCCAGCCATGTTCTGTGCCCTCTGACAGCTCCCATCATTCCCTGAACTGACTCTTAGTACTGACACCACAAGTTGAGCCGGATTCTGTCCTCCTCGCCCTCCCGCAGCGCTGGCGCCAATCCTTTAGTGGAGGATCGTACTTAGAAGCCAGGACCCGGGGGCTAGGTGTACTAGTGCCATTGCAATGTGGCTGGAACCAGCAGTATTGGAATATACGCATGTACACAATCGCACACACACAAACATATGCATCTGTGTCACCCTTCCCACGCATTCTCGTGTACACATACTGAAACCGTGAGTTCACATGGAGGCCTCTGACTTCAGCATACCACCTCCGAGGTTGTTCTGGTTTGCCTCTTGCCCCATTGGGAAGTCCCCTTTCTCGAGCGAGAGTCCTGGCTCCCATCGCCCTGTCCATTTCCCGAGCTAATGGGTCCCAATGTATGTAAGCCAGCCCTTCCCCACAGAGAGCCCTCCTCACGCACGGTGCTGAAGCCTCCCCTGCTCTTCCCGCCTCAACCCCTCAGCACTGCATCCCTGAGCCAGCTAGCCTTCCAGCACCCAACCCTGGGACATCCTCCTGGCTGCCTGGGGCTCTCTCACCCCTGCAGCCTGTCCCCCAGTGTGGACGCCTCCTCCCCGTGCTGGGGTCTGACCCCCAACTTGCTCCCTTGCTCTGCCGCACCTGATATGGTAGCTGCAGGACAGAACTGCTCTGGCACAAAAGGGAAGGGACGCGAGACAAAGGGGAGGGAAGCTGAAAAGGTGAGCACATTTAGGACCATCAGTTAATTCAGGTGAATCGGGCCCAAGCCTGGCAATACTACGAGGCCCCTGTCTTTTTTCTCACTGGTCTCCAGCTTCCCTTTCCTGCCCCTCTCCTCTGCCCAGGTCCTCTCTCATTCATAACATCCTCCCCTCCATCCAGCAGGAAATGTCATTCTGGGCGTGATTCCTGCACTCCCATTTGCATCGGCCGCTTGGCTGCCCTTCAGAGTGGACGGTGTCCTCCCTGAAGCTCCGACGCTCAAGCCCTCTGCCTCTCATGATGGAGTTGAAAGTTTCACTCCTCTTTTAGCCATTTCGGGTGTGAGCAGGAGGGCAGGCTCACAAGCTACTTCCTGGAGCCTCAGGTCCTTCGTCTGGAAGATGAGCATGACCCCAACCCCCTCACAGGCCGGAGGAGAACAGAGATCGCAATAGCAGTCACCTCTCATGAGCGCTGTGTCAAACCCAGCGAGGAGGCACTTTACCAGGGTCACGGGACTCCTCGACCCCCAGGAACACGCCGCGTGCATTTCCCCCTCAGCACTGTTGCACTTGCTGTTCCTTGTGCCGGCATGCTTTTCCCGAAGGCCGTCTACGGCTCTCCCTCACTTCCTCCCAGTCTCTGCTCCATCAGCACCTTTCCAGGGAGACCTTCCCCGACCACCCGGAATACAATACTCTCCCCCCTCACCTGGCCTCATCTTGCTCCTTAACACTGCTCACTCTCCCCGATGTTACAGATTTACCGACAACGCCATGAAATCAGAGACTTGGCCAATTATTGCCCCGTCGTACCCCCGACTCCTGGAACACATAGCCGGTGTTCAGAAGACGGACTGCGACCCGGGCTCTTGACACACATTGTTGGGATGGACAGTACCCTCTGGTATGGGCAGCGGCCTCATTGTATTGATTATGATCCATATGGAGGCTCGAGGAGACAAGTGACTCGCCCAAGGACACGCGACCAGGACTTGGGGCTCCAGGCTTCGCGATCATACCTGCCAGGTGCCAACACCCTCAGTTCCTGGACGGAGACCTCACAAACCGAAAAGAACAAAGACTTAACCAGAGCCACAGACTCCGATATCGAGGGACACCAAATACAGCTCACTGAACACAACCAGGACAGATTCCAAAAACCTGTCCAAGAGCTCACAACTGGAGCCACAGACTCCCCAGCAGAGCAGAGACCATGCCCACTGACACAATCCGCCCCGAAGGACCAAAGTCCTCAGCCCAGGACTCTAAAGTGCCCACCCTGCGTGTCCTAGAACAGACTCCCAAGCAGCAGACACCCCCCCCCCCCACTTAATTCAAGGACCGCGCAAACAGAAGGACAGAAGTTCAAATAACGCAGACACCTTACGCCAGGACCTTACGCCAGTGTCCCAGACAGACCAGAGAACCTGCACCGGACACAGACCCCCAACAGCTCAGAGCCTGGATGCCTGAAGATGAAGCCTGCTCACCCACAGCCAGTTCAGCGACATCACAACCTGGACCAGAATCCCAAACTGCTGGAGGCCTCACACCCTGGGTGGCGGACACCCGCTCCGAGGTCTCCCACCCGGGACACAAATGCCGCAGGCGCAGGAGGTGCACACCCGGGTGCGCAGGCACACAAGGCCCAGGAGACGCTGAGACCAGGGCACACAGTCCACCCCAACATCCCACTAGCTCACAGCCCCCGAGGCTCGGAGAGCACCGGCACCAGCAGCACCCGGGGAGTCACCGCAGCGAGGCCGGCCCGGAAGGCCCGACACCTGCTTCCCAGGCCGACGCACCCAACCTGCGCCGAGGCCCTCCCCGTCCTCAGGTGCTGGCCTCTGCGGACCGAAGCTGCGGGGCCCAGCGCGCCGCACCGGGCGGGCGACGGAGGGACGGGAGCCGAGGCCGCGGGGCTCACGTGGAGACAGCCGTCACCTGCTCGCCGGCCTCGGACCCCGACCACAGGCCAGTGGCACCGATCCTCGCCGCTGACCCGGCGCCACGTAGGCCGAGTTCGGACCGTCCCTCGGTGGGCGAGCGGTCCGACTCGGAGCAACAGCCGACATCTGAGAGGACACGCCACGCGCACACGCCTCACCCTCAGCTCCGGCGCGGCCGCCACCTCGCGGCCCAGACCGAGGGCCAGGGGACCCGGCAGCGGGGACGGAGGCCCAGGCCCGGGGTCCAGCGGCAGCCGGTGTGCGCCCTGGAAGGGCTTCCAGCCTCCGCCTCCGGAGGCCAATCGGCGCCCAGCACGGCCCCGGCCCCGCCCCCACAGCTGGGAAGCAGTCTCTGAGCCAATCGCCAGCCGGGCTGGACGTGACGTGTGCAGAGCCCGGGGGTGGAGCTGGAGGCGAGAAAAGGCGGGGCGCAGCCTCAGACCAGGTGGCTCCGGAGTGGCCTGTCCTACCTTCCAGCCTCGCGGGGGTAGCTCCCGGGAAAAGACTCCCCTCTCGCGCGCCCCTCGGTGGTGGGAACCGGGAAAGCGCGTCGTTGCAGATGAGGCTCGCGAGCCACACGCGGCTCTTTGGCCCCTTGAGTGTGGCTCTTCCCAAGCCTTAGGAGTACCCTAATTAAGTTAATAACAATGTACCTACCTATATAGTTTAAGTCTAAAAAATTTGGCTCTCAAAAGAAATTTCAATGCTGTACTGTTGATATTTGGCTCTGTTGCCCAATGAGTTTGCCGACCACTGCATGGACCACTCCAAGCTGGGCCGTCAGGAGGAGAACCCCACAGCCCGCTGCGGGCTGGGGCCCTTGAAGAACCTTCCTGAACTGAAGTTTGCCTCCGCAGTGGCCAGCAGGATAACAGGGGCGGGACCAGCGTTTCCGTGAGCTGGGCACTGAGAGGGCCTGTGCCTGCCTGGGTCATGCAGAATAGATGGGGGGGGGGTTGCAGCCAAAGTCCCCCCAGGGGCAGGAGGGCTAGAGCGCCTGCCTGGGGCCAGAGGCCTGGTGTGGGGCAGGCCTCGTCCTTAACTGTCAGTAGTAGGTGAGACGGACAGCAGGACAGCAGGACAGCAGGATGTTTGGTTGTGTTAGGGAAGGGGCCATCTCCCAGGGCCCCCAAGGACACAGTATCAGTGAGGCAGGACACAGGCTTTGTCACCATCTTGTCACCCCTGAGCATGTTCCCTAGGAGGATCCTGGGCCTGTCTAGCTATGCCTCTTGCCACACCTTTGCATTTATTTATTCATTCTCTCATTCATTTGTTCACCAAAGGAGAGGCCCAGGCTCAGTCAAGGGCAGAAAGCATGTGTTTGAGCAGAAAGAGTGGCCACCCCGGAGATGCAGATCTAGGTAGCGACCCAAACTGCACCCTGAAAAGAACAAAGAAAGTCGGTGTTTACAAAGCAAACCCCACAAAGTGTAATTCTTTCATGCAAATGAACCCTAGCTGGCTAGGTTAGCAGGGGTTGCTCAGTCACACTATGCACAGGAAGAGGGCACAAACTACAGGAAGGAGGCCCAGCCCATGTGTGTTCTTACAGCAGTTGTTCAGCATCGGGGTAGCACCTTCATAGCAGCTCTGAGAACTGAGGCACAGGGTGTGCATGGGCCCCGCCTCCCTATTAGGCTCCGACTCTATTTTAAGTGACTTTCTTAGCAATGCTCATTCCGTGTCATTTATTTTCCATCTTCACATTCATTCTCGCCAGCTTCTGTCAGGCACTATAATGGGAGTTAGGAAGAGAGCCGTGTGGAAAAGAGAAAGAACCTGGCCTCCCACCCCGGGAGCTGACATTCTATTGGGACAGAGAGCACAAAAATGCCAGCAATTTGTCAGGTGTTGTTAATAGCTATGATGAGAATCAAATGGGAGGGGAGCGTTTCTAGAGAGCATGGTCCAGCAAAGTTTTTCTAAGCTCGTGACATTTGAGCTAAAACCTAGAGGAGAGCATCCCAGAGGGAGTAAGAGCCAGTGGGAGAGTGGGAGTGGAACTCAGGCTAAGGAACAGTGTGGGGGCTGGTGTGGCTGGGACCGCACGATCAAGGGAGAGGTAGAAGTTGAGGTCAGAGAGGTGATGGGGGCTGGACACGTAGGGCCGTCTGGGCCACGGTGAGGACTTGGACGGACTCTGAGTGAGCCATGGGAGGATTTCTAGCAGAGAAGACCCACGCCCCTTTCAGAGGCCAGAGGCTCAGGTCACTGATGTATGGGGAGGAGCTCCCAGTTTACTTCAAGGAAGAACCCCAGTCCCAGCCCCTTTCAGCTGAACACATCTTCCCCGGATGGTCCAGTGCATTCAGGATCAGTTGTGCTCCCAATGAAGAAACACAGAAAAGGATTGTACTTTCAGGAGAGGCAGAGCAAGGGCCCTCGGGGTATCACTGAGATCACACCCAGGCCATGTGTGAGAGAGACAAAGGAACAGGCACAGAAAAAATGAGAGAGCATTAGAGAGTCAGACACAGAGAGACTATTTCTGGCAGGACTGTTGCCACTGAATTAGCACCCACCTGGTGTCCCCCAGCCCTGCTACTGGATATTGTTCCTGTATCTTCAGGGGAACAGACACCCCTCCCCAGGGACTGTGTCCACTGACTGATTCAGTTGCCCATGGCCTGGGCCTCAGTCACACTGTCTTATTAATACATAGCAGGATCCTCTGCCCATCAGGACAAGGACATGATCCAGCTATGGATAGGGTCTTGCTGTGCACAGGCTCCCCCATACCTCCTGAAGCGTCTGACTGCTCTCTCCTAATCTCAAGGCCCAAACAATGCTTTACAGGCGAAACTGGAGCCAGGGGTCTCTATATATGTAGTGGTGCCTTGTGCAAATTCATGAATCTGAGGTGGTTCCCCACCTGTGTGGATTTACCTCTCTACCTTCCACCCCCATTTTACCAGGAAATGTAAAGATTCCATTGTGTACATCAAGTAGGCAGGTATGGTGTGTGAGGGAGACAGAGTGATAGACCTCCTGATAGCAAGTCAGTTCCGGGGTCATTGTGGTCCTGGGCAAATGTCATTGTTTTCCCTTGTCACCCCCTACCCCTGGGCTTCAGCTGTTCTGAGCTCCCATTTGCCTCCTCCAAGGAGCCCAAGTTACATCCAGTTCCTACCCTCTCAAGAGATGTGATATTCCATCTTTACTGGGCTCCAGGTGCCTCATCTGCAAATGGTGACCTCTTAGGAATTCGAGCAGATTTCCCCAGTTATTATCTGGACATAGGTTTGTTACAGGGCCTGAGCGTAGGTGGGGGTGATATCAGCAGATACTGTTCTTATAGTATTCTTCACATGGATTCCTCCAAGCTGCGTAACCCTAACCCTAACTCTCCCCCTCTTCTTCTCTCTCTCCTTCCCCCACAGGCATGCATCTCTTAAACTCTAAGGGACCCCACAAGTCTTGCAAACAGGGGAGTAATGGGCAGTGGCAGCTCTTCCCAGGCTAAGCCCTGAACCTGTTCCCAAGCACCCCCTCTTTTTTTTACTTACCAGAGAGATAAGGCAGCTCAGCTTAGGCTCTCCTGTTGCTTCTTATGTGCTAATCCCTTTCTTGTTTTACTGTCCCCAGTTTTAATAAACGTTCCCTCATAATCACCTGGACTTGTGAATTTTTCCTGCATGAAGTCAAGAACCCACACACTACTGGCTGCCTCCTGCACGCCCCACACAGGTGATGGAGCCCGAAACACAGGCATGTGCCCTGACCTGGAATCGAACTGTGACCTCCTGGTTCATAGGTCAACGCTCAACCACTGAGCAACATCGGCCTGGCACATAGGGCCTTTTATTTTGTGCCTGACGTAGGGGAGTGGCTTTGCCTTGGTGCCCTGGTGCCCGTGCATGTCCTCACTCAGGTTGTGTAGGCAAAGCTAGACTGTAGGCTGATCAGAATCTTGGCAGATCACTTTGTGATTCCCCTTGGAGCAAAGGGCGAGAAGCAGCCTTTTGAGAAGCTGCCACTAAGCAGTTTCTCACTCGCTTCCCACCTATCTTGAGGCTGACTCAAGGCAGTTTTTCATCCATCTCCAGTTTCAGTTGAGTACAAGATGTCCCTCCTGCCCCACCTGAGAATACAGCTGTAGACTACAAAATTGGTCCCTGCCTTAGGGTACAACTGTGGGCTCTCACTGGCAGAGTTACCACCACCACCTGTGGTGTCTGTCACTGAGCACATCTGATTCACTGTCAAATGTGAACAGGGGGACAAAGGGAACTGACACCAAGCTGATCTTGCTTCTGGTGTTTCTGTAATTAATAAACTGTTTGAATCCACTTGGGTTCACTGTATCCTTACAATCTATGGAATGGTAAGCTGACAACAATTTCAGTAGGAAACCTGGTGGCCATGTCAGTCTGGTGCAGTGCTACTTGAGCACAGCCTAATTGACACACAGACTGTGGTGTTGCATGATCAGAATGTTGCCTTATTTTCTTTGGCATCAAACACAGCATTGAGCAAAGTTTAAGCACATACCATGACTCAGTGTAGCCTTGTCAGACCCCAGTTATTTATACACCAACTGTAGAATCGATGCCATTTCTGACACCAGCTATACTGCTATTGAATCAATATATTTCTTTAAGTAAAATATATTTCTAAACTCAAATTCATTTAGGAAGGTAGCCATATATCCCTATTAGAAACTCAAACCAGTATTTCTTGCTAGAGATGTAATTATAAAGGTAAATAAAATAAAAAATATTTGAAAGTTGGAAAATAAGCCAAATATTTTACAGTATAATTCCTACTTCATGCTATCATTTTCTTCATAGTGACAATTTACTGTACACATTGTAATTTCTCTTTTGAAATAAAGAACAGACCTAAAGTATGTGATTACTTTCCCACCATTGCACAGTTAGGATGAGTCAGAGCCAGGACAGAAACCCCTGGCTACTTGATGCCATAGCCTATAACAGTGATGGCAAACCTATGACACGCGTGTCAGAGGTGACACGCAAACTCATTTTTTGGTTGATTTTTCTTTGTTAAATGGCATTTAAATATATAAAATAAATATCAAAAATATAAGTCTTTGTTTTACTATGGTTGCAAATATAAAAAAATTTCTATATGTGACACGGCACCAGAGTTAAGTTAGGGTTTTTCAAAATGCTGACACGCTGAGCTCAAAAGGTTCGCCATCACTGGCCTATGAGGTGACAGAGTAGGTGGGACCAGAGTAATATTGCCTCAGCAAGTACCCCTGGTTCTGTCCCCTTTTATTCTACCCAGGCCCTAATGATTTCATCCAGTGTCTGATGGAGCCCAATATATATTAAAGATTAAAATTCTTACCAGACTAGCACTGGATGACTAGCACTGGATGAACTTCACAGTTCCATTTTCCTATCAGGAATAAGACAACTTCGGTACACTAATCCTGATTCTATTAACATTGTATTGTCCGTTGTTGTA